AATTTAGGTTACATATTAAGAGGAAATTTTTTACTGTGAGGGAGGAGAAACACTGAAACAGGTTGCCCAAGGAAGCTGTGGATGCCCCAACTCTGCCAGTGTTCAAAGCCAGGTCAGATAAAGCCTTGAGCAACCTGGTCAAGTGGGAGGTATCTCTGCCCATGACAGAGGGAGTTGGGACTAGATGACCTTTAAGGTCCATTCCAACCCCTTCACATTCTATGACTTTATCTTGAGCAGTACAAACTGCATTTTAAAGGAAAAACAGAGTACCAAGAAATAGAAAACTAAAGAACTCAAAAGCTAAAATACGTTAATGTTGGGTAAAGATTAAGAAAAATGGCCCATTCCTCATAAATGGTGCCATAGTAACACTTCCTTTAGATGAATGATTTCTTAAAGAATAATCAAAGTCATTACTACTTCAAAAGTAGAATTTGTAAAGATATATCTATTTTATAATGCTATTTAACAATTTATGTGGAAGACTACACAGTAGCTTTGCAGATTGACTCTAGAAAAGCATTGTTTCTTTCAGCCTAGATGTCAATACCTTCAGAAAGAGAGACCTGTAATCATAGTAGCTAGGAATGCAGCCCAGAATTATGAACTAAACTATAATACATTCTACTTCAATTGAAAAACACTTTTTTTCGTATGTGCTATCTCTCTGAACCTTGAAAATGAACACACTTCATGATGTGTCAAAAGTCTTCAGCTCTATTCACTGCAAGAGTTTCACTAATTCTTAGTGTTTCCCTCATCAGCATAATCACATCTTCCTATTTCCCCCTCCTCCTCCTAAAAGATAATCAGTCTCTGAAGTGTCCCCCAGTAACGCGATGAAAGGTTGGAGAATGGAGAAAATAGAAACAGTACAAACAATAAAATAAAAGCTTTTGATGAAACTAATAGAAAAATTACTAGCCATTATTTTTGAAATATGGAACAAGCTATCCATGCTTTTTAATTTTTTAGATTCAATAAATAAGTTTTAAGCCCACAGAATCACCCACATGTAAATAGCTCAAGCCCAGGGAAAAAGCATCAATTGCTTGGCAGGTTAGTTTCAGACACACTGGGCTAAGTATTCACGAAGCCTGACAACAACCTCCTCTAGGGGAAGAAGAGTGAGACCATGAATTATTTATGTGAACAGTGATAATCCCTAACTTTGTTTAAATATACATGGAATCAAGTTTTGATGACCTTTGGGTAGATTATTCAAATTGTGCAATAATAATGTGGTTCTTGCCAGTAAGCCTTTTCTTTTTTTCTATTTTACATCTTGGCATCATTTTCCAAAGATAAATATACCAGAAAGAATACCTTCCTACACTTTTAATGGAAATTTTAAATGTATTGTTTTGTCTATTACTACTTCCTAGTATTCTCATGTAACATGGCATTGCATATTTAATATTCAGAATCCCGTTACATGTATTTCATGTGGTGAGTGGCAGACCATTGAATTATAAAACATGTCCATCAGATCTTATAGCCAGTAGAAAATTTACAGAAAAATGAAAAAAAAGACACTCTATAAACCTTGAAACATTTTTGATCAGCCAAAATTTTGCAAAACCCACATTCTAGTTTCTAGTAGAACCCTATCTGAATTCCTGTCCCTTCCACCTTCATCTTACGGAACCTGAAAACAACACATCAACTGCAGCAGCCAGATGATAAATCCATCTCTATTTCTTGGAATTCTTCACCAGTGCAGTGAGAACTTCACTCCATGAAATTTCTATTGGCAGTTTACATGCATGTTGTAATTTAAGATGATTATGACCTAATTTTGTGGCTCAGGAGTTAAGTAACTCATAAGGCAGGAAAACAAGGTTTGCATAAAATTACTATGTTATGAATGCAAAACTGATGGCAGAAAGTATTTTGAAAGAAAGTTCTTTGAACTAAAGCTTTTCAAAAAATTATTTGCAAAGATTAATATTGGATCTTAAGTATTACGCCCTCTTCTAATGTTAATAATTCCATTTTATTCACTCATAAAGCTCTGACGATTAGCTAGATATGCATGTGTAATATCTGCAGTTGGAAAACAATTCTTAATTAGACTATCTGGTATTCACAGTAATTAAGACCATAGTCAGCATTTAAAGTGCCTTATTTAATCTTGAACAGTAGCAAAATCTCACAAGTAATTACTAGGATGACTTTCACAGCAACAGTTTTGAAGTCTCAACAATGCTAAACATTTGACTAATCCTCCAAAAACCCCAGAAAGAATAACAGTTATAGCAGACCTAGGTATAACTAAATATTTGGGAAAATATGCTTGCATCCAAAAAACAAACAACTAAAATATTCATTTATATTTTCCTGCTCGTGTCAACTAAAGTAACAACTTATTTATTTACTCAATAAATATTTTTGGATTAAAAAATAAAAGCTTTTCTTCCAAAGCAAAAAAAACCCCCAACAAAACACCAAAAAACCAAAAAAACCACAGGATTTTACAAAGTAATAGTTTTACTTATTTCCCATATAAAGGAAATTAGCATTTCCCTTCATCAGGTTTTAGCTTTCATTCATTCTGGCAAGCAGCTGAATGACAAATTGTTTCTTCTACATAGAACTCTGCAGCTTTTGTAAACCTATTATACTTCAATGCATCCTAAGTCTTACAGAGATTTGATTCATCACTTGGTTCAACTCACTCTCTTCTTTATGGTTTATATGGTGCTGATGTGACTTGAAATTAAAAATAATCCTCCACATTGCGTTTCCCAGTCATTCTGATGCTTTTAAAATCTCAGCCATTGCCTCAGCCTAAAACGTGTTATTAAAGCAATTAATCCCTAAGTACACACATTGAAGAGTGTCTTGTAGTAGCTGAGTTCACCAAGGTAACTAAGCATGGCACAAACAAAAATTGCCTTCTACTGATAGTAGATGTGTTCCATTCCAGCTTAATGCTCACAGATCTTGTTTAACAGCAGAAGGAAAGAAAAGTAAAAGAAAGAAGAGTGCATTGACTTCACACCAGGTGCTATTTTGTATTGTCTCTCCAGTGCTCATTCTTTGCTCATTTAATCTCATATATCCCCTTATACAATTCTTTTCCAGGACCTGTTCCATAACTTTCCTCTAGATTCTGTACAATTTTGTACTGCCCTTGGCTGTTGTGCAAGATGATAAGCAATGTATTTGCTTGGTTTTGGACTGTTACTGTACATTTGATTCATTATGTCTTTCTTATGTCTGTAGGTACTACAGTAGTAGTACTACTGTAGACTACTACAAAACTCCAACTAGTTATTAAATATGTAGTTAATTTAACTCAAGGTACAAGCAGAATTCAAGTAAAGAACATTTTAATTACATGTTATTAAAACTGAGTGTTACTAAAACAAGTACTACTAGTAATACAAAAACTAGTGCTAGAAAAATATGTCAACCATAGACACTTGAGAAATTCTAGGCAATCAAAATGAATCAAATGTTGCTTCTCACAAAGCTGAATAAAACATATGGGTTGCAAGTGTTAGTAATAATAGTTGGTGTACATGAAAGCATTGTGATATAGTAAATTGACTAGATTCCTACCAGATTAAAACACTAAAAAATATATGGGTAACAATAACCAAGTCTAATAACAACTGGTATCTCAGTGCTTCTCTCTTCTAATCCAGGTATGAGTGAAACTAGGTGATTACAACAACATCCTCCTTGCCCCTAGCCATGTAGACAATAAATTAAACCAATCTTCAGTAATGTAATTTTTCCTACATTTATTCTAGTCTGTCTTTACAGAAGTATCTGGAAGTAGTGCACCCTTGTCTTTCCTGGACAATGGTTTGGCTAGGAATTTCTCAGCTACAAAGAGGTAAAGGATACTTCAGATTAATTACTGCTACTCAGTGTAGTGATTAACTCCATTTTTCAAGTATAGTTAGGAACAAAACACTTAGTAACTCGATTTATAGCAGTTGGCTTCAAGAAGACAGCTGGCTTCAACAAGATTACCAAATGAGTAATCTGTACTCAGTAATTTATTAAATGCTACCTCTCTATATTCACCTACTAAAAACAGAAGCAGCACGAAAAAGGTCAATAGAAATAGTCTTGAATGTTTTTACCTTGAATACTGCAATGTCTTTTCCAGCCTAAATAATTCTATGATGGTATACACTATGGAGCAAAGATTAGATGAATCACCTGAGAAGAATCCCTGAAAAGTTGTAACTAAGCAACACAGATTATGCTTAGAGTCTTCCAAATCAGACACAAAATATTAGATTAAATTTTAGGAAAGTACATGGAAAAGTCAAATAATCTGAAAGAAATTTGAACAACATTTTAAAAGTAGTTGTCTTAGTACAATTTCAATAAATGAACAGTTGTGGAAAGTACACTTATTAAGGATACAAACATTCTGAAATAAAAATTTCTTAAATTCTAACAGTTGTTGAACTAATTTTTATTACTTTTTTTTTTTTTTTTCTAGAAGAGATCCCATATTTTAAGACAATCATCAATCTTACTTCACAGAAGGGGAACATAAACATGTAAAGTTTCTAGTCCCCTGGAGAAGTGAGAGTCAATTGGCCTGCTTTGCATATAGCAGAATCTCTAAAATTCAGGGGAAAAAAACCCCAGTCCATAAAAATCAAATGTCTGTTTTTTCTTAGACTAAAAACAGGGTCTTGTTTCTTTGTTCTTCTCTACATACTGTATATTCTGACTAACAAAAATCACAGAACCAGGAATGTTTACACACACATAACTTGTGTGAACGTGGAGTTAATGGGGGATTTGCCACCCATTACAATGGTGGAAGTAAGCAGGATATTTAATTGCCGCATCATGGAGCAACCAATTCTGCAAAAGATAAATATTTATATACACCTGCTTGCCTGGAATGAGATGTACACATAAGAATTTTTTACATAAAAATCAAAAATTAACACAGTCCATGTGGCACACGAAAGACAACCTACCACTACTTACAGAATCCTTCCTTCTCAAATTATTACCTTAGCTAGTGTCAGAGAACCTTCCTCTGTTTCTGTCGGTCCTTCTGGTAGGAGAGGAGCAGAATCTGGTATTAATCCTGAAGATTGTTCTTCATATTCTTCTGAAAAGAGGAACCATAATTCGCCATTATTAGACTATGAAAGAATTTGTGAACCACCATGATATTACAATCTAGCCAAAAACAGGATATGAACAAAAACAGGTGAAAAACGTTTGAAGGCAAATGTTGTTTGAGAATTTATGAAAATTTCTCATATAAACCTTTATTTATACTAGCAAGTTTAGATTTAAATGTGATTTATATATTGGTTATTGTACAAAAGCATTCAAACATTTACCTAAGAACAAAGTCCATACATTAGGAAGCAGCTGATACTTAAAAAATCTTACACATTGTTTTTGATTCAATAAAGTGATCATCAACTGCAATAATAAATTATTTAACAGAGATTTTTTTTTCCACAGTTGGACAACTGCCTCAAAAAGTTTACTTAGGTTGTTTTTTGTTGTTGTTTTTCAGAACATTTCTTTAAGGCTCTCACTGAAGACTCCTCCTTCAGACTTCTCTCGGGGTTACATTGCAAGGAGGAAAGGCAGGGCAAAATGCACAGGATGTACAAGGACAGGACAATATGGAAGGGCATAGTAAATCTAACTTTAATTAACCTCATCAATTGAGCACAGTGTTATGTGGAAGTGTTTTTTAGGAAAGAGGCTTAAATACTAGATTTCCCTACAAAGAAATAGGGAGGAACTAAAAAATGGGAGAAACCATCTTGAGAAATGTTGGGTTAAAATATTTCTAAATAATTTCTAAATATACTAATATAGTATAACTAATATAGTATAACTTATAGTTTGATAGTTTAGGAAGGCAAATGAATTTCTTGTAGCGTGCAGCCACATGCTGTGTCCACAAGCTTGAGTATTTACAACTGCCAGGACACTGAGCATCTTTGCATCAGTGGACTAAATAGGATGATTCCTATATTATTTGTTCAAATTCATCTAGGCTTGTCTGTATCAGTTTAATCAAAACTGTTTTAATGAAAAGGACCTGGTATCAAGTTCAATGCCTGCTTGCAGATTTAACCATTACTGTTCTTTTAAAACTTCATACTGAAATCCAGATATTTGGGAACTGAACATTCTCCATTAGAGCAGGGGGAAAATTAAGAGTTTATACAGAAGCTAGATTTAATGGAAATTGCCTAAGAAAAACTCCAAGGTGTTTGCGAAATGCTCTGATGTGTCCTAAAACACTGCCAAGCTGGGACCTGAATTAGGTGGCTCTGCGTTAGAAAAGACAAGGGACCAATCCAGCTGACAGATAATCAAGTCAGTAATAAGGTGATTTATTCCATAAGCTGAAATGCTTAACCAAGTGCAATGATTAGCTAACTTGATACAGTTTTTGCACCACAATAAGTCATCATTATGCCACGTGTGTACTACATAAACTCCTATCTTCAGAACAATAAGCAGAACAGCATGGTAAAATCTTGGTGCATCAGTTAAACCCACACCGGTATACCAGGAAGACAGCAGTAAACTTACTTTCACCAGCCACATAATTAGCTGGAAAATAGCCTTGCTGTCCATTTGCTAGGCTGCCAAACCACCAGTTATCATTATCTTTGTATAACACTTGGATAATGTCACTGCGATGGATGGTTAGCTCATCTGATCGATGCGCTGTGTAGTCATAAAGAGCCACTACCTAAAAGAGAGATAAGAACACCACAGCTTTATCACAACCATGCCACAGAGAAAAAAGCGCAACATTCACTTCCTCTTGCAGAAAAGCAGCTGAAACCAAAGCTGCACTTTGGTAAAAGCTGAGGCTGCCTCAAGTTTTGCTAATGGGATCAGGGGTGGTGGGAAAGCAGCAGGAGAGGCAAGATAAAGGACTGTGGGATTGCAGAAATGGTTAAGAACATTCAATTCACTAAGATTAGCTTCAAAACAGCAGCTGTTAGTTTTATAAGCAATTTGCTTGTGAAGCAAAAGGGAAAAAAAACTTCATACAGTCACTTTCTCAGAATTGTTATACCACCTTCAGATCCCATTCTCTGTGTGCTCATGAAGCATATGTGTTTGAATAAATACTTCAACAGTATGACAGCTTTATCCAAGGAAAAATTTAATACAAAAAGACATTGCAAAGTTTTGCTTTGATCCCTCACTTTTTTCTTTTTTTCTTTTCTTTTTTTCATTTATTTTGTTTTGTTTAGCAATAAGCATTTGGATATAAAATCTTATGAATATCTGCAAAAATACTTTTATATTCCATTTCACATAATAAATCTATTTTGACAGTGAAATTCAGTGCAGTTATAGTTTTATGAAAAAGAGTACTAACAGTCATCAGGAACACGTATACTACATACAATAAAGTACTAGAAGCCTGCTTTCTACCCTGAATACGAAAATAACAATTTCTTATTTATTTTCTATGCCCTATGAACAAAAATTTGTCCTAGTGAACTCTGAGCAGAAACACATGAAAGGAAAACAAATGAACTGAAAGAATATGGGAATTACTCACTTCCCTCATCATAAGTGAAGAGCAAAATTATGACCTATTTTACACACAGAATGCTGCTTCCCTACCTACAATTTTCACCTCATACTCCTCTACAAAATTGAAAGTAGAGGTCAGAAACAAGGATCATTAGGAGCAATAGGATGGTTAACAGGATTGAAGGAGACAACAAAGTTATCATGATACAGATAGGAAAAACCCCTTGTTTTTTATTACACATGCATGCATTTAAATTTTAAGACTGCAGAATTCTACAATGTATTTTATATTTGTATTTCTGCTCTGCGCAAGATCACCTGCGAGTTTTGTCTATAAAAATATAGCAAATGACACTTGTATTTTTATAGTTCCATGTCACCAATTAAACAGATTAAATCAGTTATGAATGGGAAAAAATGGAAGTGATTCTACCACTGTAAATTTTATGTGGCAATTTGTGAGCTGGTCAGCACCAAAGAATTAGTATCAGCATAGTTTTCAGTAGACAGGAAATTTACCTAAATATGCATAAATTAGTCCTGAATTTACATAGAGAATTTAAACCATGAAATGTGTTTTAACATAACTCTCCTCCCTGCATTAGGAAAACTAACAGTAATTACAGGTGATGTTGAGATTACAGAAATATGAACTGTAGAACAGAACAAAACTAAACCACACTATTGAGAACCATGAACATGTCCAGTAAGATGGGTTCTAACAGTGCCCATTTCAGTTAAGTGACAATCTCATGAAAACTGTGAGGTCACTTAAGGTAAAAGAGTCCAAAACCCAAAAAGGAATGTAGGAATGCAACACTAATTACTTGGTAGAATGAAAAACAATGAAAGGCAGAGTAACAACTACTTGGTTTTGCAGTGTCTTTTGCAAGATACTTCTGGTGCAAATGTGTTTTTCTGAAAAAAATTACAAAAATTCAGTCACATGGAAACTGCCACAAACAGTTCAAACCAATCAAGCGAGTCCCACCATCTGTCTCTCAGAAATAAGAAATTAATATACCAATGCATTCTGTAATACAACTGGTTTAGTAAGCATGACAATTTAAATAAAATGTGGAAATTGCCATTATATTCTCTGCAAACATATGATCAGGAAAATGACCATAACAGGATACAAGAAATGCACCTCAGAACCAAAGAAGAATGTAAACCACTCACAATTACACCTAAAGCAATGGACTTCTTTTCTGGTTTGAAATTTAAAGATTTGTCAAGTTCAATTTGGCTTAAAGTTCAAGCAAAAAATAAAAAATCTATATTCAAGAAAATGTTGCAAAATTGTTTTCAATACTGATATAAATCCAGAAGTAATGTAGTTTTACAGTTATGAACCTCTTTGTAAGAACTACAAAATCTACAGTTGAAAAAAAAATTTCCTTGGGATCATGCTAAAAAAAAAGGGCATGCTTTCAAAAGCAGATACAGTATAACAGGTACAGAAGATATTGCAAAAAAAAAAATTACATAACACTTACTGTCTCTTGCCTGGGTGGACAACTGCTTCCTCCTCCCACTCCCAGTGCAGTCAGGCTGTCCTCATTCTAGAAGAATAAGTTGTTTCTAGTTTTAATATGAAGCATTTTGCTAAACTATGATTGTATTTTCATTTCTCCTGTAAGACAATAGGAATTATCTGCAACAAAATGCTTTTTTCAAAAAAGAAAAAGCAGAAGTGATGTTAAGCAACACTGAGTAATATTGGCTATTGGCTGGTAGATGTTTAGAAAAAGATACTAAATTTTTCAAGTATGTACACCACACTAACGACATAACTGGACTGATGACTATGCAGTCCAAGCTTGTTTGCATTGCAAACACTACAGCAGATATTTAAGAAGTTGTTGGAGTGAACTTTACTTCTGAACCACTACACAAAAGATGTCACTTCCATATAATAGAGAATTTTAGGTTGGTCTTAATCACCAGTACTTTAATTCTAAATTTTCCGTCCTTACCACTTGCTCTTCAGACTTACAATGAATTCAAAAGAATAGTAGGTATATCTTGTAATAATTAGGATAAGCCTGTACCTTAAAAAATTTGATTTCTGTAAAATAATCAAATGCTTAAGCTGAAGGAAGATTTAGAATAGAAAAATTATGAAAAAATAGCAGAGGAACAACAAACTAGGGAAAAGAAAGGAAGAGCTGGAAGTCATTTCTTGGTATTACTTAATTTTTTTTTCAATGGTCTATCTTCACAAAAGGGAAACCAATTTCCTCTTGATTTTGTGTGCATCAAAGGATACACACTCCCATACAGAACAGAAATATTACACAAATTACACACAGCAATCATAATATTTTAGAAGCATCAAATGTGTGCTTTGTGAAGTAAACGTTTCCACCTCTAACAGATATACTGCATTATAACCATTCAAATCTGAAAATTTTAATCCAACATATTTAATCTCTTTCATATTTTACAGCCACTTCTTTATATATCTTTTACACTAACTTTTTTCTCTTCTGCTTTTAAAAAATATATCTAAAGTGTATTGTTCTTTTTATTTTCGATGTTTTAGGGTTCTTTTACTTTTTATTATGGTCGTCCAAGGAACATCATTACAAATTACAGAGAAAATCCTTGCAAATCCTCAGAAGAATAAATGCCATTCTTGAGAACAGGGATTCTTGCCCTCAGTGTTGTTTTCATAATTTAGCTGGGCTTATCCCATATGGGAAAGAAATCACTGACTATCTGAACTCTATCCAGTCTCCAGATTGTTTTGGTACTGCCACAGTAGTTACAGATACACACAGCAGTTAGAGACGAACTCGGTGTAAAAGCGAACACTTGCACTCAGTTCTTATCATCTACCAGAACATCTAAGCCTACCACCTAAAGAGTTCTGAATAATTATGTACATGCACAGAAGGAAAAAAAAAAAAAAAAAAAGTGTAACTGCCTGATTTGATAAACAAATTTTGAACAAAGACTGGTGGAGCTGCAGTTCAGAGTACGCTGCTTGTTCAGTGGTCTACTGGTAGTCAGCACTGCTGTTCAGGTTTCAGCTAATTCTCATTTTCCATTCTCAAGGTTAAGAGAACTGTGCAGGCAATGTGCTTAGCCTGTGGGATGGGAGTGCCTCCTGTTGCTCAAAAATGATTCATCAGAATTATTAGCAGATTATTTAGGTATCTAGTTCAGGTACTCATATTGCCCCATTATTGTGTCTCAATCTGTCTGTCTCTCTTTTTTTAATAAGGTATTTATGTGGCTCTCAAACACTCAAGAACAGCTTGAAGAGAGCAAGCTGTGTGGAAATAACAAGCTAACATCTATGAGTCACCCCGAGACTATGCTGAATGTTCTCAGACACTGCCTTAAACTTTTACAGCAACAACAATCCAAAGAGGTGCCTCTTAAAGAGGTACTCTGAGTACGTCATCAGCTGCACACACCTCTACCCCCAGCTGTCCAGGGCAATTGCCATGGCTGCCTACCACACACACAGCAACTCCAGGCTGCCTCTGGTGTGCTGTGCCATCCCTCAGGTAGTGCTGAGCCATTCCTCAAATAGTTCCAAGTACCAGTTACACCACAAGAAACACCCAACAAAAACTAGCAGCCTTTCAGCTTAGGAAGGCCGTTCATCAGTTTTTTAAATGCCATGTCACAGGATGAAGGCATGTTTTCAGGATTTCAAAAAAGCATCAGGCATGCTGAATGGTATGAATACATCATTCTTAATACAATATTAATGTCTCATTTTTTTCATGCAGGATGGAAAATAGCTAATCCTTTTCTTGCACTGGAACAGATGTGAAGCTATAGCTATGTTCTGAGGAGTTGGTCTTTTTGGGAGGTAGACCATCTGCGAGGAACAGAAACAAAATGCTTGCTGAAAAAGCTTGCCATGTCACACTGTGGTTGAACAAAGCTGTTAGGAGCTTTCAGCTTTAAGGACCATCCTCAAAGAAAGATAAATAGATCCATCAGCTGATGCAGCATTCTAGACCATGGTTTATCACACTGGTTATCCATGACTAACCCACTTAGATACCCGTGATATTTCAAATTCAAAACCAAACAAAAATGTTTCAAGATGCTGATACAAAAGAGAACATTGCACCTGAGAGTAACTCAATACATTGTTATATCAAGTTTTATGGATTCCTGATAGTAGCCCTAATTAAAATGTTCATGTCTTCTTTTCAGCGGGTCAATTTCAGTGACTGCTCAAATGGAGGTTTTGTTTTTTTGATGCAGAGGTATAGTGGCCAACAGGATTTGGGCATTATATAGTGCTCATTCCCTTAGGAGAAGGAGTGCTGAGAAAGAACAAATGGTATCTTATTGCTGCCTTTTCTGTAAAAATCTCAGGAATTTAACTTCTACTATTGAACCAATACACTTCAGTTACCACAATATCAAAATTTAAAGAAAAAAAAAGTCTAAGATTCATATAGTTTCATATACTTCTTCCTTATATGTAAACATATTCATTGTAACAGAATAAACATACAGATTAAGTCCCACTTCTAATTAGCCATTAACTCTTAATAATAACTCTTGGAAAATAAGCTTTTCTAACATTAATTTTAGGCAAACCCTACACATACCAGGGTGAACCCCATTGTGTATGCACACGGGGCCAAAGTCCCCCTCCCTCCTTTTGCCTTCAGTGACAGACTCAGGGACATGAAGAAGAACATCTATTTCCTGGATGTTTCACAGTAGCACTGCTTCCCTCCACTCCACCCTGCTATACCTGTTATTTGATGCAGTGTAAGAGAAACTGGGAGTATTGCCTATGCAAACACTCCAGAAAAGACACAAGGAACGTGTGTTACAGATTCTCTTGTCTGTCCAGTAAATCTGTGCCTAAGTGTGTAATAGCCAGTATTCTGAGGCTGCTTTCATAGACTTCTTTTATTGCTGCTTTTGGGTTTCTTGATTAGTTTTTTTTAAAGAAGAAAGAATAAGAAATTAACTTAAAGAGCCTGATTGAAACCCTTGGTTGGCTTAAAAGATACGCAAAACATTTAAAAATTCTACAGAATAAATCTGAGATTTTACTGTTGCTCCATTGTCTTTCTTCTTCCTTAAGATCATAAAGGTTAGAGATTTACTTACTTGTCTCTTCCCTAAAGAACTTTATGCAATCTCTTTACTCCAGTAAGTGAAGTTTTAAATTAAATGCTATGTAAGATGAGACTTAGAAGTAAACAGCTGGATACTGTTAGCACGTTTTTATCATTCTCTGATCCTAGCTCAGAACAACTAACTACAAATTTAGTATATGGGAAAAAGAACTACATATACTAGTATTAATAGCTAAATTAAAATTATACTAAAAGTATCAATTGGCAAGAATGATAAACTCTCCTTCAGTCAATTAATCTGTCTGTAGACACTGTAAAGTTACTTCCTTAGGCTTCAGATGACTACCATCCTGATTTGATTAAAGCCCTTCAATATTTAATAAGCACAGGAATCTATAATTCGCCTAGAGGAAGAAAGGACCAAAACTGTACCAGGCTGCACTTTATTGAAACCTGCAATGTACAAACAGAAATCAGAAATGCAAACACAGCTGCTGCAGTAAAACCTACAAGGATTTAAAACAAAAAAAAAAAAGAAAAGAAAAAAGGGAAAAGGATCAATTCAAAAGCATGTGAAATACTCCAACTCCTGCAATGATTCAAAACCTCTTCAACTATTTTGCCATTTCTAAAAATGCTAGGTTTTGATATTAATTACTCGGTTAACCTGCACTTACATATGTTAATGTGCTTATAATAGAAGTAAAAATTATATTCAAAACCTTAATTCAGCCCTCTCAGAAAAAACTATTTTAAATTAGCTGTTACCTAGCAGAGGTACTACTTCTAAGAGATTCTATTTTGCAAAATAGTTGGTCCTGCAAATGTTTATCAGGCTTGCTGTGGTGGAGAACACTACAGTACTGGTTGAACAATATGTATTTTTCCCTAAAAAATTACGTATTGATGGCTAAAAATTTGAAAACATGAAAACATGAAAACAGGAATCATTTAGCAACTAAGACAAAATTAACATAAAATCACGCTTTCAAAATTTCTTAGTAAATCCTGTTTATCTTACAAGACTTCCACAACTAACAGATTCTGTTAAAAAATGTAGGTCAAAAATATCCTAAAGCAATCCAAACAAAACCCCAAACTGAAACTGTAAAACAGATATAAATGACTGATGTTAATTTATGTCCATTTATAACATTTCTGTCAATAATCAAAATTAGTGCAATTACAACAGAATATTCAACCATGGCATTCTGTCCATGGGAGCAGGAGGATTAACATCTCCAGTACAACAGGCCCAGCTTCATGGAGACACAAACACGTTCACTATTCAGAAGCACCACTTGCTCTTCACTAGTTTCTCCACACATTTTGTGAATACAGGTTCATCAAATATATAGTTGCAATTAATGACATTTACAGATTTTGTTGGATTTTTATTAAGGTGATTTATTAAGGAAACCAGAAATCAAGAAAAGAATGAATATAATTAGGAGAAGCTTACAATCAATATTTAATAGATAAGCAAATAAGTAAACAGAGGATAGCTGTGATTTAACTTGTTACAAAAAGATGAAGTATGAGTAAACAATGAAAACATGGTGCTGCAATGAGAGTTTCATTCCAAGTTACTGTCTTAGCTTTTCTCTCAGCTACTCATCAATGCCTGTTTTCTTAGTAAAAACAAAAAAACATGTGAGTGTGATTTTATTTTATTTCTAAACAACAAAAATTAAAGCATGAAAAAATATAAAGCTTTTGATTTGCAGAGAACTGATCTCACTACCAGCTGGTCACAGCATAAGCTAATTTGGCCCTGTAGACAATTGGTTTGAAGATACCTCTTTTTTGAATAAAGACAGGATAAAAAAAAAACACCTCTCTACAATGAGAACTTGTGAATAATGACATTTTATAGTTAAACATCAATTTAAAAAAAATGCAAAAAGAGAATCCCTTACCTTCTGTAGTCTACCCAATAGTGTTTGACTAAGAGGATTTCCTACTGGGCTGAAGCACCCTGTGAAAAGAAAAGGCTGTGAATTTTCTGCTTGTTATCCTTTTCCATCGAATAAACCATTTTATTTTAAAATCATTATGTTAGCAGGGTATGTTTGACAAAATTCTAATGAAAAGCAGCAGCATCTTTCAGTCACAACTATGCATCCTTCAGTCAGGAACAGTTGGAGGGTTTATTTAACTAACAGACCTGACACAAGGTTAACTAATCCAATATTTCCATTCAAATGATTTGGAGAAGTAGCTCAAGCTATGTCCACATGCCACCTCGTGCTCAAAGCTGACACTATTATCTAGGCTGTATTGCTTTTCTCTTCATTGAATTTCCAAGTAATGCATACAAAGTTTTCCAACAGAAATGATCACAAAAACTCACAAAGGAATTACTTCCTTATTTTATCTGAAAGAATAACTATTCCTATTCAGTAGTCCCCTTTGATCATCTGAGTTCCTATCACAACACATCTTGCTGTTTATTTTATTCACTCTCTACACAGCACACTTGAACAAGTACTTGTAAATTCTTTTCTTTTCAGACTATTATGTTAACTACTAAGCTCAGGAAAATCCTTTTATCATCTATGGATTTATCTTTTTGTTATTGGTCTCCTCAGCTGTATACTTAAGAAAACATCTTAAAAAGAAAAGATAGAAAAAATTGGAAAATCGTTGAACATGACAGTGAAAAATACTACCGCTTCACTGGAGAACAGTTTCTCAAGTACAGAAATGCCAGGCAACACAGAGTTAAGCTCACTGGATTTTCTCTGTGAGACACTAGCTTTGAAACAAGTTTTGTTTTTAAAGAAAAATAAGTTCAGAAAACTCATTTTCATTTGCCACACAAAAAACCTGCTTTTGAGGAGTCCAGTATCTGAATAAAGAGGACTTTTCAGATTCAGATTCCCATGTACTGACAGAGCTCCATAAGGAAACTTGCACAACTCCACCTACAGTATACTTTCTAAAGCCTAGTAGTTTAGACTTTCACAGATTTACTCATAAATGTTCAATCATTAAGATATTTTGGTATTTCTAACTAGAATAAAAGTTTCAAGCTAAAAAAACTGTAGTTAAACCATGCTCCTGAAAATTTGTATGTAACTAAACTCTTGCTTGTGAGAAATCCTAAAAACATGCAATAATGGATTATTCAGCTCCATGAATTAAAAACATTTTGATCTTAATAATTTTAAAAAATCTTGTATAAATTCTGAAATACTTTATTTTGAAAAGCTTACTTTGCTTTTATTACTTTTTTTCCACCTCTTTTAAGAAGAAGGAAGAGATGAGAATGTAACCCATTTTCTGAATTCAACCCATACTTAAAGACAGTAGTCCTGAAGGCAATCTTTTTTCAAATAAGCTATTTGCTAAGACATTGTCCAGCACTAACCAAAAGCCAGTGGGGGTGTTACTTCTATTAATATTGTTATCTACACACTGATAAAGTCAGAAAACCAGATGCTACAGAGATGATACTACATATAGATATACTGTCACATACACATGTTGTATCAAGTCTTTGAATGTAAAATGAACAAACTGAAAACCAATAAAATGTCTGCATGATTTATTTTTTTTTTTTAAGACAGCAAATTTGAGCATGGGAGTGTTGTGCCAACTCACACAAAGCCATACTAAGATAAAAGATACATAAAATATTTGAGAAAAACAATTGTTTACCTGGAAAAATATTCAAGTTTTAATTAAAAACAACACTGATCTGCACTTTTATCAGTTACATCATTGACCTTCATATTTTTTTTAATGAAAACATGCATTACTTCCAAGTGCTCATGGACTGAACATTTATGCATGTCAGTACTCCCGTGCAGCCCCTATATTCAGCTGCTTATCAGGTGAAAACTGTATGGTTAGACCAATATTCCCAATTAAGCCCCAATAAAGCGCAGTGCAGACCTGCTATGCTGCAAGCACAGGACAGACAGATGCATAACTTAAAGATATAAGGAGTGCTGTATGGAATTCTTGAAGCTGGCACTGGTTCAGACTCAGGGTTTTCCATGAGTAGAGACAAAACAAACAGAAAATTCCTATTACTCTGCTTGAGGTGTAAACAGACCACAGCACACCTGGGCACAAATACTCTGTGATCATGCCTATTGCTTACCATAAAGTAGACTTCAGCGTCATCAGTTACTTGTTTATAGTTATCAAGCATTCCTTTAGTAGCCCCTACATTCAAATTGATCATATCAAAAAATGCCAAGCTTACAAAACAAAAAAACTTGTTCAAATCTTCCTCATTCATAAAACAAGCTCCATTCAGCAAGCAAGTGAATATCCATCCGTTCTTCCCCAAACGAAGCAGTGGAATTTTAAAGCAATGTTCCACAGCTATGGGCTTGATATGGTTCCATGCTTGATGAAGCATGTAAATGACATCAAGCAGGTGTGACTAACAGCAGTGCTTGCTTTGGTTCTCTCTCATCCAGGCTGTACATGCTTTTCAACTACTATATTGAAACTGAGGTCTGGATTCCAGAAGGACATTTCCACTTGATCTAAAAATTAAGCTTACAGGACACCGTGACCTGCTGTGGCTCTCGCTTAGTCTGAGCTTATAGAAAGGTCATTAAATCCCTTGTAAGGTCAAGCCCGAAACACCCCCAACACCCAGGGTAATCTAGGCTGTCCTATCTTAACGCTGCTTCAGAACCTCTAATGGAGAAGCATTTTTATTGATGCAGATGTTTTATTTGTACTCTCTAACAATCTTCTTTCTTATCTGCTGCCCTCACCTTCAAAATCATATACATCTCGAGAAGCTAATCTTCCCTATGAAAGTACCAACATTTGAATTACTACATTTCCTATTACTCTGCATTGATTCTTCAGTAGTTTGCTTTACATGGAATTTTACATGAAAACATACTACTTCTAGGAGAAATTACTGCTAAAGTCTAGCTGCAAATCAGTCATCTCAAAACAACAGATGCTAATCCTTTACCTCAAATTACCAGAATTTTCACATCAACACAATTTAACAGCAGGACAGCTCTTCTTTAGGGTCCACGTAATCCTACTGCTACAATTATGCCCTGATCTTATCAAAGAACTGGTTTGAAAAACAGTATATCTGCCTGCCTTGAGAGAGTCTGAAACTGTGGTAGTTTCTTGTACAATTCCAACAGCGAACTGAAAGGGCACCCTCAGCTCCCCTTGGTCACTTCTGGCAATTTATTCTTTGCCAGTATAACTGCAACCTAAGAGGAAATAAGCCAGAAGCCAAGCAGTTGCCCCGTCCAAAATGTGGCTGTAATACCAAGTCCCCACTTTTATTGTGTGCTTTCACTGAAAAGCTACCCTCTGCTCCAGACAAACAGATCAGTGTGAGGTGATCAAATTCTAAGTAGTGCATTCTGAAATGCACTAAGTAGATGAGTTAACTATCAAATAGACTTGACTTATATTGAAATTGATATGACAGCACCAACAGTGCCCCAGAATAGTACTTTTAATAATTAAGAACAGTTCATTTTAAATGACAGCATCTTTAGTGATTTTGTTTTAAACTAATAGCATAATAGGCAGAATTGGGAAAGAAGTCTTTCTAGGTAGTCACATAATTCCACTCTTATCCTACTGGACTGTCTATAATCACCCAACGTGAAATGTTTCTGTGAAAAAATGCTCTTTTAAAAAAAGGCTAAGAGAACATTCATTACAGAAGAACTCCTGTTTTAATGAACTTTTCAGAAGAAGGCTTTTTCCCACTTTCTGAAAAGATCTTGATAAATTAATTTTTTTAATTACTAAAAATATTTAAGCATAATAAATCTTTAAAGATTCCAGTCACACAGAATCTACAGCTAATGAAAGCATTCAAAGCTTATCCTGGAAAATTCTCAGAAAATCACAGAGCAAAGGACAAATATATACCTATGAAAACTGAAATATTTTAATATTCACACATTTCTGTGACAAACACTTCTAAAGCATGCAGAGAGAAAAAAATCTTACCTATTGTAGCTACACATTATTCTATTTCTAACTGAGTTTTACTTTAGGTTTACACTAATTGCTAATGTCCCCAAACCCACAAAAAATCCTGGAAGACATGAAAATAAACAATGCCACTAGGAAATGGTGTTTCTTACTGCAGACATTCTTACGAATTATATCATGGTCTCTTGCAACACAGTGTAGTTAAAATACACCCAATTAAATAAGAAACACTGGAAAAAAAGTCAAGTCAGATATGAGATGAATATGTGTACATCAGCTCATTCCTCTTTCTTCTCATCTTCTCATAAAACTGTTTCCAGTAAAGAGAACCATGTTTTCAGCACAGTCACCTAGTGTAGTATGCCCAAAAGTATAACTTTCATGACCAAAGGATGTTTTAGAAGGCCATATAATCTCTACTTGAGGTTACAAAGGTTTCAAAGGAAAATTTTGAGGTTTTTAAAGCAAAAGCTTTCAGCTATTTCTGCAATTTCATTTTTCAAACTATATATAATGTAAGGGAATGAAGATAATTTTGTAATTATCTAAATATATATTAATCTTCCCTCAAAGGCTTTATCCTCAAACCAATTATGCTTTAATAGATCAAACAGAATTCATTACATAAAAAGACTGTTTATATATTGGGTAAGAACCTGTTTTCCTTTATTTAAAACACAGGATCACAAAAACATTTAAAACCCACCACAAACATTTTTAGATGCAGTTAACACAAAATGAAAGGAGTAGATGCACCTACCTAACACAAGAGTACCTTTTTGTTTTACCAGCAAAGCAGATGTTTTGTTAATATCCATTGCTTTAGGTGAAAATCCACTTCCAACTCTGTTCTACATAACTTAGTCTAGCACCTATGATTTTGAAGATACTCCAGACTGAACAGGAGAATTGATAGGACCAAAGTGTACTGAAAACTTTTAGTGAATTCAATTTGTATCATAGTGACAGGACAAGAAGAAATAGTCTCTAACTGCATTAGGGGAGATTCCAGTTGGACATCAGGAAGAA